TTCTTTACAATGTGAAATAACATGTTTGTTTTAATCAGAATTCTCCAATGTTCCGATCTACCTCGTTATCTGAGTCATCAGAATACGCGGAAACATACTCGCTGTAGTTATTATCTTCATGTTCATCTTCATCTTCCTCATCATCATCAGCACTGTCCCCCATGTATCCATCTTCATCTTCATCGTCGTTATCGTCATCATTTTCAGATTTGTTCATGCAGTTATCACTGGCTGAACAACCACAAAGATCTGTGCATTTCAAACCGACTTTTTTGCACCCACACCGATTTGTGGCACACTTCTCCTTGGCGCATTTACATTTAACAAGATGTATAATAGCCCGTGGTGCAGGAGGTAATGTGGTCATCACTGGGCACCAAATTTTATTGCCTTCATCCCATTTCCATCCATAATTTTCCGGTGATGGCAAGGTTGGGTTAGGCACGGTGTCATTGTTCCACACAATAAGCTGGTAATGGGCACGGAGAACAGCTTGGTGTAAGGCGGCATCAGTTGGAGGAAGCTGCTGGGAGGTGGCCTGTTTTTTAGTGAAAAGCCACCATCGTAACGCCTTCAGAGAGTCGATTTCTGTCTTGGGGACAAAGAGCTGGCAAACAAATTTTGCTATACCTGGTAATGATCTCATCACTGGGGAGATTACTCGTTCCAAGCCGTGCCAACGCGCTCAGTACATTGTCATCAGACTCGTCGAAAATTCTCCAGCAAGTAGGCTTCCCTTTTCTGGCGAACGATCCAGTGTTATCTGCCCCGGTCAATGCATGGAAAGCTGGAAGAGCCGCTGTTTTCAAAGGGCCAAGTGCATCGACTATCGGCTTCAGCTTGATTACGCGGTGATGCTGGCCTTTACCAGTGACAAACACTGTATTCTGACACAGATCGGTGTAACGCCTCAAGGAAAGGAAAAAACATCAGTGTCAGGAGAATGGATTTGGATCTCCGTTGCTCCATTAACCGTTGCGTCTTGGGCATGTAAGATAATCTTTGTATCGGCCTCTTCGTGATCACTGTTAAGATAAGCCATATCCTTCTTGCTTCCCTTGCACTCACAGCCATATGCTACCACTACTCTGATTCCACCTTGTTCAGCGTACTTTATGATCTCTTGTGCAAGGTATTCAGCCAGTTCTTTCTTTGTGTTTGTGTGAGATAGGAGCTTCTTCATCGTAACTTTGGCAATCAGAGTAGATGAGGTGATTCGATAGTAGATGAGGTCTTGCTGCCGTGTCCTCTTCTGGCGTGTTGCTTCCTTCAGAGATGATAGAATATCATATCTATCAAACACCAGCCGGATCTCTTCGTTATCCCGATACTTTTCAAATATGCGTCCTGCAAAGTGCTGAGCCAGTTGAGAACAGTCACGGATCCACTCTGGCTTGTCAAGGGCTTGCACCTCTGCCATTGCATCGACAATCGACACCTTCATTCTTTGCCGTTCTGCATGACCATCAGTGCTGCAATCTGGAGGAATTGGCAAATTCTCGAGTATTGGCATCAATGCACTCTTGGCTGTACAGTGTAACATGGTGCCATCAGCAGTAAACATCGATCGTGGAACAACTCTGAATTTGTATGTTCCAACAGCTTCTGGAATGTCGATCTCTGGACGGCTCTTACAGATGATTAGCATGCGTGCAAACAAGTTTCTATCTTCTTGCAGTTCGATGGTCTCGGCCGAGGTTGAAATCTTAATCTTCTTGGTCATCGCTTTCCATGTCTGCAACTTTCTTTTCTTCATACTTGACCACAGGTTGATCTTTCCGGTTATGATGCGATCTCTAACAAAATCATCATAGAGCTTCTGGCCAATCTCGCTTTGCTCTATAAGATCCTTCTTCACCTTCTCCGATGCAACCACTTTCGTCACAAGATTGAATAGCTTGTCACCTTGCTCGGTAAAGGGATTTGTAAATCCTTCTATCGTATTCAATAGCTTGGTGATGTTCTTCTCTTCACGAGAGAGCCCAGCAGCCGTCAAAGCGTGGTGTTTGGCGCCTCCTCTCGTTTTTGCCCTGCCAGCCATCTTCTTTGCCTCTTCTGCTAGACGCGCGAGCTCTGGAGCAATCATGAAGAATTTGGTACGTGCACTTGGATTCAAAGTGATGCCTACTAGGCCTCCTGATACCTTCATGGATCGATTAATGTGTTCCAGGGCATGATCTGCTCCAAGTCCACAAAATGGTACGTGTCGGTTCTTGTTCACAACCCAGTTGCCTTCGGCGAACTCTTTATAGATTTCAGGAGCTGACTCGGGAAGGTTTTCCATCTCGGCAAGATAAATGGGAATCATTCTGGCGTAGTTAAGTTTGTCGTGCGCAAAGAAATACTTCGTAAACAACTGCAAAGATCTTAAATGCAACTGCCAGTCCGCTGTTCGTACAGCACGTACAAACAGCAACATCTCCATAATCATCTTCATGTAGGAACGGAAAACCTTGAACTCAGGATTCTTCCCTTCTTCAAATCGTTCCATTTTGCCAACTAAATCTTCAGATTTCATTACTTCTACCATTTGATCTTCAGCTTCTTTTACCTCGCTATTTTTTCCTTGTTCACACGCCTTTCCTAGCTGCTTTGCACACTTGTCAATCTTCTTCACCAACTCTTCATCTTGGCTAGAGAGGAACGCCTTCTGGTAGAGCATAAACAGGACTTGAAGAGTAACCAAATGTGCTGTCTCTCCTCTCTTTACGTGCTTCCCTGCCAGGATTTGCTTGACAGTAGCTGGGCCATACAAATCAGACTCTGACCAGCACAAGTCGATTCCACTGTGTTCGATGAATGAACCTAGGGTTCTAAGTTGCGCCATAACAATATGGAGCTCGCCAGGCCTTAGAATGAGATGGTTTAAATCATTACGAGCCATCTGGAGCTTTTTAGCGGGTAGGTATAAGCCGAGGTCCAACGATACGACCGTTTTTCGGCCCGGACCCATGACGTGAGCAGTGATTCCTTGGGCCTGCAATTTTTGTGAATACTTTAGATTTAATACAGACCAATTACAAAATAAGAAACGAGAATATGGCTGCTATTGTTGTTTCCTATTTCAGATTTAATATATTCAGTGGCTCTAGTTCTAACAACTTTTACATGTGCACTTTCTCAAACGTTTGACCGAGGTTAAATACATACCTGCATGAGAATGGTAAGCATTGTAGTCCATTCGTGGGCAGGGGCTGCTATCAGTGGCGGAGATCCGATTCTTGTAAGGGGCTGTGTTTCATAGACTAGAGAATTATACCCGGACCAGACAGGCACCTGAGATTGCGTCATCTCGCCATCGCTATCTTGAGCTGGGAACCGTGTTAAGCTGCGTCCAATGAGCCACGCAAAGTCCTTAAGCTTAACCGTTATTGCTAGATCTTCCACATTCACGCTATACGAGGGGTATGTAGGACTTTTCGGGTTCGCTTGAGGATTAGGGCACTCTAGCAGTGTTGTATTAGGGAGATCCTTTAAGGAACGATCGCTTTTCCGGCCTGCAATATTTGTGTCATCCAATCTAAGGAAACACATATAGAGTTAAGCTATAGTTGATACTATAAACAACATGGTAAATTAGCTATAATAGTAAATGGTCTATGCGTTGGAAGTTAACTGTTGTTTAAACCCGATTACGGATTCATTTTTTCTTACAAATAACCTGAGCTGTGGTGAAGCATCCTGGTCGTATTGCCTCTGATATATGGCCATAGCCGTTCCATGGAGGGTACCCTTTCCATCAGGCGTATCTTCAGAAAAATCTACGTTATCCACAGCAAAGAAGATGTGGCGCCCAGGTACAACATCTGGAGGAATATACAGGTTATTGCTCTGCTTCATGCGCTGAACTACGTGCTTCTGGATTTGAGATTCCGCTCGAAGAATACGATTGTATTCTACTGACATACCAAACCCACTTAGCATGTTTACAAGTGCTTTGCTCCTAATAGACTGGTGTATTGCCAAACCAATGGCAAGTTGTTGGGGTATTTCTTTTGTCGATCGAATTACCTATGAACAACATTGATCAAAGAAAATAAATACATCTAATTTAATGTCATTAATTTGGAAGATGTGAAACTTGACGTACCTCTGACTTCCGGTGTTTCACTTGGCGATCAGTAAGGGTCATGGAGATGGTACTTTGGCTCAGAGTAACTGCCCGCTTGTAGATTTCACTGAACTTGTCATCTAGGAAAAGAAAACATTATAAATGTTTCATATGTTCATTACTGGAATATTCCTACTCTGCCCAATGTCTTTAGAATATTGTAATGACACATGCCCTAACCTGATGCAAATCCTGTTGGTCCGTGTATAATCCATCTAAAAAAGCAATATAACTCCTTGGGAAGCTGTTCAGCATCAAGGTCGTCAAACTGACCGGTGAAGGTCCAACTCTTGCTGTGGTTAATGCGCTTGCGAAGGAGTGCTGCAACATCATAAATAGCTTTCATTTCAGGTTCGGTGCACCTGTCTTCTTCGCTTGATATTATTGAGTTATCCCGCGTTTCCTTCACAGTTAGTCTTTCAGGTTCATTCAGTCGTTTCGGTCTGTGAAATTCAACATCTGGAACATAACTTGAGATTAACTGCTTCAGTGTTTTTCTGGAACATGTGGGATTTACTACACCATTTTCAAGAAGCACATTTACATACAGGGTCTCGAGATCTGCCATATTCAAGAGCTTCCCTTCCTTCAACGCTTTCTCGGTGATATCTAAGAACTCAACTCTACCAGCTGCCACTCCATTATCCTCGTTTGGTTGGTACTGGGATCTTCGTAGCACATTTGTGACATTGTTTAGATAACAATTCTTATGGTATTTGACATCTATGGCATGAGCATCATTTGCGTTAATTGAGGTCGCAAGTTTTGTTTGTAATCTTTCATCTCCCAGAATCTCTACAGCAGACCGGATTGACTGTCCTGCCGACTCGGTGCAGACGGAATGGAGAGGATCTTTATTGACAGCCGCTTGATCACAAAAAAAACACAGTTCCTTATTGTAGGGGCAAGTTTGCGACCGTGTCAATTTTTTGCTTTCCTCCTTTTTTCGCTTAACTTGTGGCACCATCTTTTTCAAATTGCTCTTTTGCTCTTTTTAACTTTTCTTTACTGGTGACAACCTGGTAGCACGACCTGTGCCAAGTTGCATTCTGAAGAGTTAAGTCTTGTACTGTGTATTGTTGTAGCATTAACCAAGTGTCACGATAGTTAGGATTTCCATACGCACTTCTTTCTTCAACAAATCGAAGCAATCTTTCATGTGACGTTGGATTTTTTACCAGAGGTTCTTTTGTATTCTTGTGGCACAAAATGCACAATTTGAAATCGAGTACGTTGGCTGACATCAAGAGAACAAAAGCCGCAAAATATGTACTTACAGAACTTCAAAAAAAGTCATGACAATGATCACTCTCACTCACTTTCACTTTCTGTTTTAATGAAAAATACCACTGACCAGCAATACTGCAATAACATTGATGCATAGCCTTCAGTCTTCAAAGTCGCACTCTCAAATGCATAGACAGTCTGTCATTATTGTGATAATCTATTATTATTTGTTGGTTTGTTTTCTTTCTAAGGACTTTCCCCGTTTGGTTTATGGTTAATTTTTGATTTGTCACGTGACAAAATAAAAAATGACACCATTGTTTTTTAATAGCAAGATGATCATTAGACTGTAGACATTGTAATAACACATGGACTTATGCAACTAAGAACAACTATATAAATGTATTCAGTCTGATGCTAACTATTAACCGTCATAACAGTACAATTAACTTATAAACAAGTCACGTGGTACATGCTAGTCTCGTTTTCGTGTTTGGGGTCACGTGACAAAATAAAAGAGACACTGTTCTCTTCTGTGTAGTATGGTAATCATTTGTTACAATTTTCGTGACATTTCGTTCAAAAATAACAAAGATATTGATGATTTAGACACTAGCCTCGTTTTAATGTTGGGAGTCACGTGACAACATAAAAACTAGATTATTGTCTTCTGCATGTCTTGGTGATTATTTGTTGCAAGTTTCATGACATTTCGTCTAAAAACGGCGAAGATATTAATGGTTTTGGTACCAGCCTCGTTTTCGTGCTAAAATGTTGACGTCCTTTTTAAAAATACCCCCTTAATTGGTCCAGGACAAGTTACAAACTTGGCAACATCACTTTTCTACTATTTGAAGTCCCCTGAACATGACTAGCATTGTTGCTTGCTTTCTTCAGTGATTTCCCACGGGAGTACACATGCTCCCTGACTATAACATCTGTGTTGCTATTTACAACCAGCAATAATGCCGAAACAATTAGAATACTTTGTTCTAACTTACTCTTACAATGCTCTAAATCAAGTGGGTCTCTAATGGAAAGAGACTGTTGGATGTGAGAAAACAATGTTACCAGTGATTGAAAAAATAGGTACGCAGTGCGTACATGTTGCATGCCATTGAAGCTTACAGCTCAGCACGATGCATCTATATGGTATATACTAAGACTTATTTTGAACATTGGCTATAACGCAAATAACAGTAAACAATAACGTTAAGTTTTTATTGTATTGTACGTGTGACCACATTGGCCCAGGCGTGCGTTAAGTTAATAACAGATACTAAACTTTATAGTAAATATATACTACATGAATTACTAGTTGTAATGAAGTGCAGAAGTTGCCTTTGGAGACAAACAGGAGGGCGCATTGTTTTATACATATACATATACATGTACATGTACATGTACATGTACATGTACATGTACATGTACATGTACATGTACATATACATATATATATACATGTATATATATATATATATATATATATATATATATTATGTAGTATAAAAGTCCACATTGAATTTTGATATAGCGACCTCAACCGCAGAAACCTTATTTTTGGCGTGTAATTTGTGTTCCAATTTTCAATTTTGTTGTTTTGAATTCTAAAAATTCAAAAGTACATAGTGGAAACATGTTTCACCTTGTGATTGGAAGTGTTTTTAAACTACGTATTAGTGCCTGTTCGCAGGCTACGTCGACCTCGTGCTGTGCTTGGAACAACTAATTTTGTAGCTAATAGGTAAGGTTCACCTTAAACATTTATAGTTTTTCGAAGGGAGTCTTCGATGGTATAATACAGGATGTATAACAAAAACGCAAACTGCCACAACTGTCAAATTTCTTTATTACTGGATGCGCAACAGCGCTAGTGTAAAAGGAAAATTTGTACATTCATTTAATTACAGTACCTGTCAACAAGAGTAATATGATATATCAGCAATTTGAGTTCATAGTATAAATCACTGTATAAATATTTAGATGCTGTCTACATTGGTGTGAAAATAATTTAATTATACTGGAATAGATGTTTTGAAAACTTGTTAGATATAGTATATTGTTTAGGTTTATGAAGAATTGTAGTCTTTGATCATGTCATGCATAGGCCAGATAAAAAAATTCCTTGATTAGATGACCCGCATTATTGGGCTGCCTATGGCAGAGATAAGCCTTATTCATTCCTATAATCCTATTCAGTTGCAAATATAAGCTTTAAGTCTGGTTCACACTGGTCCTAAGAATCGGGGATTTTCATTGTCTGTGGTCATTGCTGTGTAAAATGCTTTGTCTATCGGAAAAGAATACAATAGATCCCAGACGAATTACAACTAGTGTGAACAGGCATTAGTTATTGATTTTTTTGGTCTATTTTGATAGGAAGCAGTATATCAATATGGATATGAGTCAGATCATGAGATGGCGGAAAACATAATTACCACTGATGACACTCAGAAAAACAGTGCTGCATACAATGAACTTCTTGAAGTCATTACTCAGTTTGATAATTCTCCAATTGGGGAAATTGCTAATGCCGAATCTGATAATTCCCAGAGTGGACCTGGTACCAATGCTGAATCTGATAATTGCCAGAGTGGACCTGGTCTATTGCTAATGCTGAGTGTGATAAATCGCCAATTGAGCAGTCCAGTCCCAGTACGATTGCTGAACCTGAAGCTATAGGATATCTTCACAATATATCACCAATTAAAAAGGGAAAGTACTTTGAATTCCAACTGCAAGAAAGGGCAAAACAGTACGTGGAGTCTGTTTTTCACCACCCCAAGCGAAAGCGGTTCATTGAACTTGACCAGAAGGACTCTCCAGTCAAAATAAAGAAGTATCGTGTTGACCGATCTGGCTCAAATTCAGAGGATTTGCTGATGGGAGATGTTGTAATTAACGCATACAATGATGTGGACTTTCAAAAGCAACAGCTACCATCCACTATGAATATATCCAATGCAAAGTTGGTGTGTCCTGGTCAGATTATAACCATTAGAGCTAAAGTTGCTCATGTGCACCCTCCAAACGAGTCGGTATAAAAAAATTACATATGCAGAATGTAGTTATTGACCCATCTGGGACAATCACATTAACCCTTTGGGAAGATTGTGTACATCAAGTGAAACAAGGCGACACATACACTTTTACCAACATACGTGTACGAAGGGATAAAGTTACCAGTGAAATTGTTGTCAACACAATTGAGTCCGATACTAAAATAGAATCTGGACTACCGTTTCAAGAACCACTGCCGATCATAGTCGTTGACAGTGAAACTGTTGATGTAGAAATCATTGGTATCGAGAAAGTTGAACCATATCTTGCCTGCACAAAATGTAGCAAAAAAATTCAACATACTGATAATCGAAGATTTATTGAATGTTCACACTGTCATTTCAAGCAGAAAGAAGCAGCAGTAGCCAAGCACTGGTTTGCTCAAGTCCTCGTTGAAAACAAATTGTTGAGTTCAACAGAATCCAGCCGATTTAGCGTCACCTCTTTGAAAGTTCTATAAAGCAGATTGTTCAAGCCAATAGTGAAATTCCAGAGGATACCAAGTTCACCAAAGAACTGATTGAAGATGTTCTCTTTGATACAGCCATCATTTCAATGACATACAACAAACAAAATCATATTGTTGAAAACATTATATCAGTACAGACAATGCTAAATTAGTGATATTCAAAGTATTAATGACACGAACATTAGATATTTTTGTTGTGGTTTAGTTTGAAGAAAGACTTGAAAAAATTGATATTTTAAATAACACATATGTATGAAGAAGGTATGGTTGAAAATTCACATTTATTGTAATAAAAACTTACTGTTGTGTTTGGAGAGATTGAATTGTTCTTTGAAATTTAATAGACCATACCCATTATGATGTTTCATGGCATAATTTAACTACTAAGTCTAAGCTTTTTCAGGCTTTAACCAAGAAGCTAGCAAAGCATTCTGGTCTTAGTAGTTAAATTTTGTCATGAAACATCATTATGATTGTATGGTCTATTGTACTGTACATCTCACCAGTCCACAATAAATAATAGAAGAGCATATTTTGAATCTTTATTTTTTTATACCAAAAAAAAATCAGACTAGAGCTAAAGTTTCTCTGTATTTCCTCTCTCTTTAAGCAGATTTGATAATGTGAAGTATTTATACAATATTTACAAAAATTTAGTAACAATCATTGCACTGCAAATACAGTACATTCAGAATAATCGACATTCTGTCATTTTTAGTTGAAAAAATACACTGTATGCAAACCATAACAGATGCATTATATATTCCTTCTGTATTCTGTAGCTTTTGCTCCTGATTTGAAACATTTCATTTGACCAACGGATGGAAATCTGCAATACCTTCATTTTTCCAATATCACTTTTCAATATGACATTGCAATAGTAGACACCACTTGAGACGTTGTAAGTTGGTGAACTGTACAAATTTAAAGTTGAGGCTTCTCATTATTTACAAATGACATAATGTAAAATATTCTCAACCAGTAAGATCTTCACAGTGATGTAAATGGTGGTATTAAATATGTCTTTGTTGTATCTAAAATGTTCAAGAAAGTGATATTAATGTACTGGAAATATGTTCTATGGTGTGTTTTCCACTTCAGCCATATTGTAACAATATACCATATTTTTACCCTTAGTCCAATGTGACTAGATCTGTATTCTTTCTGAAGGTAGTTCCGAGAGGTGAAAACTATTGTCTATACTACACTAT